TGTAAAAAAAGGCAGGGGCTCTTTGTATGACACCTTGACAATGTTGTTCTGGTTTAGTGTTGCGGTGAGAGACAGTACACGATTCAAAAGGGCATCGTGTTGGGTATGTGGTGCCTGTTTTCCATAAAAGCTCAGGGGTCCGGCGCCCGACACTTTGCAAGTTGATGGACTGAACCTGTCAACTGTGGTCGGGCGGAACACCCAGCCTGGTGCACGACATTTGGCAAGTTGAACCCGCAACCCGTCAGTACCCCTGACATGAACCCGCAACCCGTCAGTACCCCTGCAACAATTGTGTCCACCATTTATCTTCCCGAAAGGACCTGAGGCTCCTTCTCCGGTTGACAAATAAACATATTATTCGTTAAAATAGGACATTATATTTTAAAATGGTACTCGCTTGCTATTAATTTCATGTTAAAATCGATATATTTTGGATCTGAATAGAACTTAGGAACCCGAAGAATGAAATTGAGAAGCTATAAATTGAATCTAAACCGGAGATTCAAGGCAATCACTTACTGATCATGATGGATTAAGTGTGGATTCCATTGCACTTCCATCAATTTTGTAACTTAAAAGTCGTTACGGCAACATGAATTGTTGAACTCTCAATTTCTTTACACCTTGCTCAATTTTGAGTCAACATTGAGTCGGACCTCTTTTAGATAACATTGTGACTTCCCTTAATTTATTAAAACTCAATCAAAGTGGGACATTTACGGCAAGCACACGGATGGTTTAAGTACTAACAGTCTAGTATTGATACCGTCGCACTTCGATAATTTTTGCTTTAACTCTATTAAATGTATACTAATCACGACAAAGTTTAACGAATCACACGACAAATGAATGACACGACAAACGAGATTACGGCTTAAGTACACTGACTATGGGTTCCATCGCACTTCGATAATTTTATGTACTACATACTTATTAAAAGACGTGACACCCAGTCTGTTCGGTGTGATTTAAGGATGGATTCCAACACCGTGACACTTCGATAATTTTTGACTCTATCACACTTCGACAATTTATATGACTTTAAAGACGAAACTGACATGTCATTGTCATACATTGAAATGCAATTGAATCAGACGTACTACACATGATATGGTGTGAAGGCGAAACCAGTCTAAGATGGTTTATGTATGGATTTCAGCGCACTTTGACAAAAAATCATAAACCGATACGACATTGTCATATAAAACTGAAATTCATGTGAGTACCATGGATTCTGTCTCACTTCAAGAAATGTCGTACCCATGACAAATTAAGCAATTCCGAGAAAGGGGTTGCACATAAGGCGGGTCAAACGGCCACGAAGAATCAGCATAGCTCTCATTGGGGTTTTGATTGAACCAATAAATCGGACCTTCCTAGGGCAACCATTCTTCATCATCGCGAAACTCCTTGTACAACATGCCCGGACTATCTCCAACCATAAAAAATTTAAGCAAGTGCGGTTTTGAAATACCGGTAATGTCAGACGCAACGCACGAGTCCACTATACTAATCCAATCTTCCATCGTATCGAGGAAAATACATTTAGGAGACTTTTTGTGGGATTGCTTTATTAGCTCGAAGAACTCGTCCATAGTATAAGCGTCTGCGTCTTTCAATTTCTTCGAGAAAACGCTGAAAGTAGCGTCAACGTCTGTATGGGTGTGTCCCATCAGCATGAAACCTATTTCTACCTCTTCAAAAACTTCGAACTTAACGAACAGTGCAACTAGGACACATATGTACTTGTTCTTGTTTTCCCGCAAAAAAATTATCTGTTTGAATGCGCAAAAACCGTGGCAGTGGCGTCCCGCTCCCTTGAATTTCGACAAGGGTTCTCATAACACAAGTAGCGACCGTGTTGGAATCGTGTTTGAAATACGGAAACCACGTGTACACATATATACTAGGGTTTTTGCCGTGTGCAATGACGCCTGTCAGATTAGTCTTCATCATCATCTCGTGCCTAAGTGCTTTCGAGTAGTTCGCTTGACCAATATGGGGGATAGTTGTTTTTTTCTGATCCATGACGTCAATGATGAGACACAAACGCTCGTTCGGACAAACCATGAAATCAGTTTTCGCTCGACTGTAGTCCAATCTGTGTTCAACTTGCCTCCTTTGGTGTGCTTTCATATCCTCTCGAGCACGTTCTCGATCTCGAGGAAGAGCAGCATATTGTATACGTTCCTTCAGTTCATGACAGACGGCCCACTTCGTGAACGTGTTAGATTGCGCGAGGAAAACGTGGAAAAAGTGTTTCCGCCACAACTTATAAAAGTTGGACTCAGACACGACATCGAGGCCAGCGGCCAGAAAGTCGGATTTGATGG